ACAACGAGACTAGACTCACAATTTAAATATATTCACCATATATTTTACCCGCAAAACTGAAAATATATTATTTGTGCTGATCTGCTCATAATAGAGAGAGAGAAAGAGAGAGAGAGCACTGATTTGTGTGAACACATTATTCTTCAATACAAATTGTTATTATTAAGTTTTTCCCTATCTTTCCCTCTTTTTTCTCTCTCCCGTCAATTCATATCTCTCTCCAAACCCCTACCCTTGCACTCGACTTCTTTCCCCCAACCGATAGTAAGCCATATATTAAAAACAATAACTCTCTCTCTCTCTCTCTCTCTCTCTCTCTCTCTCTCTCCAACTCTTATCGCATCTCTCCGTCACTATTTGTATTAATTTTCTCTCATTTGGCACTTGTTTTATATACCGTTTCCACACATTTTGAATGCCTTTGATATAACATTATAAAAATATGTAATAAAAAAGCGATTAAATAGAAATTTATATAATATTTACTTTATATTATATAATGAATTATTGTTATGCGTTTCTATTGAGCTTTGGTCGCAAAATTAGCGCACAATTTGTGTCTAAATAAGACATTTTTGTCACAAATTATTAATATCTCATACAATTAATGATTGAAATTAATTAAAATCATTAATAATTAAAATCAAAAGTATAGACATTTACACAACAAACAAAATCTAATTTCATATTTTCAAATTTCATTCAAATTTCAAACCACAGAAATTTGAATTTATCTGAAAAATATACTTATCTCTCGTACACCAGAAAGTACTGGATATTTGAGTACATAAAACCGAATGTTGTATAAAATGTCACTTTTTTCAGTTATAATTTGAATACATATAACACATACCCTCTCTTTCCCCCAATAATATAAGCACTTATGTAATCACGTGTAGATTTCTTAGTCCTTTAGACTTTCATTTACGTACATATCTATGATATTATAAATAATTTCCTCTTTTTGTGTCTAATTTTATATCATTATTAGTATTATTATTATTATTAACACATATTTTTCACTATTTATTGTATTTCCATAGGAAAATGTTTATCGGCGGTCTGAGTTGGCAAACAGCCCCGGGTAAGTGTGCCGTATATTTTATATATTAATAATAATATTACATACAGTTATATTTACATCATATATCATCGCATATATACAGTATAGTCATATATATTGTGCAACGATTTTTAAGTTTAATATTTGTTTAGTATTTTTTATAAAAGTAATATCGTAAGAGTTGTTGAAGTTTTTTTCTGTCATCTTATATTACAAAATATTATTTGTCGGATATAAGCGCATAATAATAGTAAATACAGTGTTTTATGTGATTACAAGTCAATAACTACTAAACCAAAATTGTTTGTCGTATTATTATTGTGTGAAAAGCCTTTCTTTCATTCACTTTTTCTTTAATATAGTTGTCTCTGAATATATCTGAGATTTAAATCTCATCACTGAATATAAATATAATGTGAAAAATATTAACTAATAATACAGTGACTAAAAATAGCACTTTTATATTCACGCTATGAATGCATACATTATATGATAGGAAAATATTTTCAGATATACAGTGAAAATATTTCTATATAAATACGTTTATTATATAATATACTGTATGTTAAGGTTTTTTGGCTGAATATAAGGATAGCATTATTCGGTCGCATATATACTGAAAACACATATAATATAACACACAATAAAACACATTCACAAAAGACTTTTTAAAATAACTTTTTAAACCGAGAAAGAAGTTAAGAAATATTTTCTTACAACAAAAAACATATGCAGTTTTGGCTGCAATTAGAAAGTAGTATTTGAAAGTATACTCAAAACTCAGAGAGAGAGAGAGAGAGAGAGAGAGAGAGAGAGAGAGACTAAAAATAAAAAATTTTTATTTTACATTCTGTGTTTAGTGAGAGTCGACTGGGCTCTTGGCCTCTGCTCTAACAAAAAAAGGCTGACTGAGTGTTATATAAGAAATTTTTTGTAAGCAAAAAAATCATATTAAAAACAACTCCTATTCCCTTAGACACGGAGATACAGAGTGTATAACTATTTTTCAATGCCCTCTGCTTTTTTACCATCCAGTTTGTACTCCAAATACCCACTCGACTCTCTCTTTCTCTCTCTCTCTCTCTCTCTCTATTTATCGTTTACTTTTGCTACACGTTTATAACTTTATGATGGGTAGAGAGGGAGGGTTTGGAGAGATAGTGACTGTGCGATAGTTTTGTATACTTGAATGACTCGCTATACTGTACAGCGCGGACCCCAAAACCCCAATACCCCCTCTTCTCCCCACTCCCGGTATTGATATATTAATTCACATTCAGTACACAATACATGATACCAATGCCTGGGCTATCCATAGTGTGTCACTAGATTTTTATTAATTTATTTCATATATTATTGTTATAATATATTTGTTGAGCTGACAGTGAATTTAGAGGAGATTCTGTCAGTTATATGCAATGTCTGACCAGTCATTCAAATCGATTTATTGACAATTTATATGACAACACATTTTGATAGGAATTTAATCCGGATTTTGATATTTCTTGAAATATAAAATTTTCAGATTTATCGCAATCTCTCTCTCTCTCTCTCTCTCTCTCTTATGTCTCTCTCGCACCCAATTCTCAATTCCTGAATGCATTTGATTTATATAATGCTTCAGATTTTGATATTTCTTGAAATATAAAATTTTCAGATTTATCGCAATCTCTCTCTCTCTCTCTCTCTCTCTCTCTCTCTCTCTCTCTCTAATCGCAAAAATGATTTCCCATTTGATTCTGTGTTTTATTTGTCTGCAATTGTTTGTTATTATTAATTCAAACACAAAACAAAATAAAAATAACACATTTCTCTACACTTAATAAAATAGCGAATAAAATACATTTTCTTTTGTCGTTTAATTATCTATTTATAGCGACAATAAACGTGTCATAAAAACTATTTAATTGTTTATTCGCTAACCATTTAATATATCGTATGAATATTTTTCCTCAAAATATAATATTATATAACAATTAACATCTCTTAACAGATATTCAGTCAAATTATTGGCAAAAATTCAGTAAAAAATATTTATTAAATAAAAATAAAATTAATTATCCGTTGAATATTATAATCATAGAGAAAGTGATGCAAATGTAGAAACCCTTCAGAAGACAATTTCTAACATATCGTAGACAACACTTCATTCACTCATTTATTTTTATTCATTTCATTCATTCAATCGATTTATTTCCCTATTTTTCTTCCTCTCCTTTCCTTAAAAACTTGGCTTAAAATGATTTATACGATTCTTGTGATGCGAAAAATGTTGTGAAGCATTATATAAATCAAATGCATTCAGGAATTGAGAATTGGGTGCGAGAGAGACATAAGAGAGAGAGAGAGAGAGAGAGAGAGAGGGTGAGAAAGCGTTAGAAGAAATGAATAGTGATTTATAGTAATTATACGATAAATAATTAGTGATTCGCACTTCAAAATTATTAACACATATATATTTTGTTGTGTGAATTGAATGGGATGTAAATCAATGAGCAATTGAAATGAATTGCCAAATGAGTGAATGAATCGTTTGTAGAGTTGTTATGAATACCACAGAATATTCTTATGATTTTTCAAACATAACATTATTTTTCTCACTTACACTTCAAACCCTCTAAACATAAATTTTTGGTCTGAAATGTAAATAAATTTTATTTGAAAATACATTTAGTGCAATACTGAATATATACAGTGGTATTAGTAATTTAGTTGTTATATTCAGATAATATTATTCATTGAATAGAGATGTTTGTCTCGCAATTATAATTAGTGTCACAAAAATAGTTCATTTAATAATTACAATAATAATCACAATTGTAATCATAATTTAATGCTGTATTGTGTGTAATATATCCGACAATTTTGTATTTAAACAACATTATAATACATAATAGTAAAGAGATTCTTAATCGCATTGCGTTATATACTAAGACTTATCCATTAGATTAAGTATTATTATACATAAAATTGTTGTTACCATTTGAACACAAAATCTCATACAATATTGTTTCTCTATCTCCGTATATATCGCCCCCGCATTCGCTCCCAAATCTCCAAACATCTCAATGTATGGACCATTATATGGACGGGTATTGCATATACCGGAGCGCAGAAGGCCTTAGGGAGTACTTTAGCAAATTTGGTGACATAACCGAAGTAATGGTTATGAAAGATCCCACAACCAGAAGATCGAGGTAAGTGTTTGATCATCATCTCTGGCCCTTTCAAACAATAGGCCAACAGTTTATTACCATTTTATTTATAATCAGATTTATATGCAAAACGAGTGCAACGCTTACGTGCCGTAAATATTTTGTTGCCCAGACTTTTAATGCCTTAATGAATGAATTGATTAGTATATTGTTGTTGTTGTTTTATTTTGTGCAAGGGCAAATGCCCGGCGATTAATACCTCTCTTTATTACGTATTTATTATTTATATATTGGGGTTATTTTGTGGATAAAAAAAACTCAATAAATTAATTATTGAATGATTGCTTAATTCATGAGGCGATTATCAGGCGATAAATCTACTTTTAATGAGTGCTAATTTGAATTTTTAAAATTATTAACTAGAGTTTTATCGAGTATTTAATTGCCTTAAAATTTATTTAATTTATTTGTCGATATATTTAGTTCAAAACTGTGTTAAACACTAATATATGTTATTATTGGGCGCTATGTTTGTCTGTCTAAAGACTGACAATATTTTTTCATTCATTCAATTTCTATCCAATAAAAGATGATTTTTCTCTTGATTTTATTTGATTTGTCAAAAAACACATAACGATTGATATATATAAAGATAAAAATTCCTCTCGTCTTATACTGTATATACAAAATAGATAACAGAAAAAATATTTTATTCAATTTTTGTGTGTGTTTTGTTTTATCCCAAAAATATTCTCTCTCTCTCTCTCTCTCTCTCTCGTATGCAATATATCTGTGAGTTTTTCTCTGGTATTCGTTTAGAAATTTTTTGATAAAAAATATTTTTGACAGAATTTATTATATTTTTCATCTTTTATTTCATTCTTATTGTCAATCTGTAAGCCATTGGAAACAAAACAAAACAAATAACAGTTTTTGTCCGCAATTCTTGTGTCCATCGCTTTTCATACGAGAATCGATTTGTTTGAACACAACAACCGATGCGAGAGAGCGAGCGAGAGAGAGAGAGAGAGAGAGAGAGAGAGAAGAAAATGGGGGAGAAATACAAATTTATTATACAATTCTTGTTAATATAATAGCACTACATATTATACATAAGAATAACACATATACTATAATATGTCGTATAATATATTGATATAAATATATGGATATAAATGTAGAGAAGGAGAGGGGAAAGCATTAAAATATTGAATTAGTTTTATGGACAATAATTTTTATGTTTAGTAATATTAAAGCATTTTTATGATGGCATTGCCATTGGCATCGGGTCTCTGCATATTCCCTCTTAATCCCTCTCCCATTCATATACTATTGCCATCACATACTCACTCACAACCACTCTATTGGCATCACATGTATTACAGTAGAGAGACATACAGTGATAGGGAGAGAGAGGAGAGGGAATATGCAGAGACCCGATGCCAATGGCAATGCCATCATAAAAATGCTTTAATATTACTAAACATAAAAATTATTGTCCATAAAACTAATTCAATATTTTATTAATAGTATTATTAAGAGATTTGAAATGAAAATAAAATCTAAAATCTAAGAAAATGATAGAGAGAGAGAGAGAGAGAGAGAGAGAGAGAGAGATGCCAAACAGGCAATGCTATAACAGTCGTCTCAGTAATGATGTGCCGGCCTTGCAATTGACGTTTGCTTTTTTAACAGAATTACTTTTTCCTATGCCTTCCCTTCAATATAATAGCACCAGAAATATATATTATATAAATATCTGTATATCGTATATATAAATGATATGAATCTCTCGATTGAGTAAAATTGTTGTTCATTTCTCTCTCTCTCTCTCTCTCTCTCTCTCTCTATCATTTTCTTAGATTTTAGATTTTATTTTCATTTCAAATCTCTTAATAATACTATTAAACGATTGTTTGCCAGTAATTATGGGCACAATTTGTCGAAAGCAGTATATTTTGTGTGATTAGTAACGAAGATATGCGGATATAATGCCACAGTCTTTTTATAACATATTGTCTATCACTCTATTAATACAATACAATAATACACTGACGAGAGAGAGAGAGAGAGAGAGAGAGAGAGAGAAATGAACAACAATTTTACTCAATCGAGAGATTCATATCATTTATATATACGATATACAGATATTTATA